CTAGTATGTGTGTGAAGTTAAATTCGAATTTAACTAGCAGAGACACAAACCACATTTTTTAACATTGCTCTTTTTGCAGCTAACAGAGCACTGTTAAGCATTTAACAGAAAGTACATGAAAAATTAAAAATAAACACTTTAAAATTTTCAGAAAATGAAAAACGAAAATTTCAGAACTTAAAAAAATATGAAAAATAAAAAAAATATTTTTTGAAAAAAATCAATATTTTAATAAAAAAGATTAAAAATTCTCTAAAAAATCAATATTTCAATAAAAAAAATGTTAAAAATTCTCTAAAGGATTGGTGTCCAATTTGGACAAATATGGAAATGCACACGTATACCACTATATAGGAGTAGTAGTCTAAAGGGTCCTTAACAGGATTCCGGTAGTCATATGTCTGGAATAGTTTTGGAAGTTTTTTAAAAAATTTTTGAAAAAATCAATATTTCAATAAGAAAAATGTTAAAAATTCTCTAAAGGATTGGTGTCCAATTTGGACAAATATGGAAATGCACACGTATACCACTATATAGGTGTAGTAGTCTGAAGGGTCCTTAACAGGATTCCGGTGGTCATATGTCTGGAATAGTTTTGGAAGTTTTTTAAAAAATTTTTGAAAAAATCAATATTTCAACAAGAAAAATGTTAAAATTCTCTAAAGGATTGGTGTCCAATTTGGACAAATATGGAAATGCACACGTATACCACTATATAGGAGTAGTAGCCTAAAGGGTCCTTAACAGGATTCCGGTAGTCATATGTCTGGAATAGTTTTGGAAGTTTTTTAAAAAATTTTTGAAAAAATCAATATTTCAATAAGAAAAATGTTAAAAATTCTCTAAAGGATTGGTGTCCAATTTGGACAAATATGGAAATGCACACGTATACCACTATATAGGTGTAGTAGTCTGAAGGGTCCTTAACAGGATTCCGGTAGTCATATGTCTGGAATAGTTTTGGAAGTTTTTAAAAAAATTTTTGAAAAAATCAATATTTCAATAAGAAAAATGTTAAAAATTCTCTAAAGGATTGGTGTCCAATTTGGACAAATATGGAAATGCACACGTATACCACTATATAGGTGTAGTAGTCTGAAGGGTCCTTAACAGGATTCCGGTAGTCATATGTCTGGAATAGTTTTGGAAGTTTTTTAAAAAATTTTTGAAAAAATCAATATTTCAATAAGAAAAATGTTAAAAATTCTGAATCCTGCTAAGAACCCTTTAGCCTACTACTCCTATATAGTGGTATACGTGTGCATTTCCATATTTGTCCAAATTGGACACCAATCCTTTAGAGAATTTTAACATTTTTCTTATTGAAATACTGATTGTTTCAAAAAGTTTTTAAAAAACTTCCAAAACTATTCCAGACATATGACTACCAGAATCCTGTTAGGGACCCTTTAGACTACTACTCCTATATAGTGGTATACGTGTGCATTTCCATATTTGTCCAAATTGGACACCAATCCTTTAGAGAATTTTTAACATTTTTCTTATTGAAATATTGATTTTTTCAAAAATTTTTTAAAAAACTTCCAAAACTATTCCAGACACATGACTAACAGAATCCTGTTAAGGACCATTTAGACTACTACTCCTATATAGCGGTATACGTGTGCATTTCCATATTTGTCCAAATTGGACACCAATCCTTTAGAGAATTTTAACATTTTTCTTATTGAAATATTGATTTTTTCAAAAATTTTTTAAAAAACTTCCAAAACTATTCCAGACATATGACTACCAGAATCCTGTTAGGGACCCTTTAGACTACTACTCCTATATAGTGGTATACGTGTGCATTTCCATATTTGTCCAAATTGGACACCAATCCTTTAGAGAATTTCAACATTTTTCTTATTGAAATATTGATTTTTTCAAAAATTTTTTAAAAAACTTCCAAAACTATTCCAGACATATGACTACCAGAATCCTGTTAGGGACCCTTTAGACTACTACTCCTATATAGTGGTATACGTGTGCATTTCCATATTTGTCCAAATTGGACACCAATCCTTTAGAGAATTTTTAACATTTTTCTTATTGAAATATTGATTTTTTCAAAAATTTTTTAAAAAACTTCCAAAACTATTCCAGACATATGACTACCGGAATCCTGTTAAGGACCCTTCAGACTACTACACCTATATAGTGGTATACGTGTGCATTTCCATATTTGTCCAAATTGGACACCAATCCTTTAGAGAATTTTAACATTTTTCTTATTGAAATATTGATTTTTTCAAAAATTTTTTTAAAAACTTCCAAAACTATTCCAGACATATGACTACCGGAATCCTGTTAAGGACCCTTCAGACTACTACACCTATATAGTGGTATACGTGTGCATTTCCATATTTGTCCAAATTGGACACCAATCCTTTAGAGAATTTTTAACATTTTTCTTATTGAAATATTGATTTTTTCAAAAATTTTTTAAAAAACTTCCAAAACTATTCCAGACATATGACTAAGGACCCTTTAGGCTACTACTCCTATATAGTGGTATACGTGTGCATTTCCATATTTGTCCAAATTGGACACCAATCCTTTAGAGAATTTTAACATTTTTCTTATTGAAATATTGATTTTTTCAAAAATTTTTTAAAAAACTTCCAAAACTATTCCAGACATATGACTACCAGAATCCTGTTAGGGACCCTTTAGACTACTACTCCTATATAGTGGTATACGTGTGCATTTCCATATTTGTCCAAATTGGACACCAATCCTTTAGAGAATTTTTAACATTTTTCTTATTGAAATATTGATTTTTTCAAAAATTTTTTAAAAAACTTCCAAAACTATTCCAGACATATGACTACCGGAATCCTGTTAAGGACCCTTTAGACTACTACTCCTATATAGTGGTATACGTGTGCATTTCCATATTTGTCCAAATTGGACACCAATCCTTTAGAGAATTTTTAACATTTTTCTTATTGAAATATTGATTTTTTAGAGAATTTTTAATCTTTTTTATTAAAATATTGATTTTTTTCAAAAAATATTTTTTTTTATTTTTCATATTTTTTTAAGTTCTGAAATTTTCGTATTTCATTTTCTGAAAATTTTAAAGTGTTTATTTTTAATTTTTCATGTACTTTCTGTTAAATGCTTAACAGTGCTCTGTTAGCTGCAAAAAGAGCAATGTTAAAAAATGTGGTTTGTGTCTCTGCTAGTTAAATTCGAATTTAACTTCACACACATTGATCTAGTTTATAGGCTATTCTAAGTCAAAGCTACAGATAAAGCTATTGTTTAGTGTTTAACTAAGGATGTAGTAGAGTCTATAGTTAAAGCTATAGGTAAGTCTAAAGACCAAGCTATATTGTAGTCGATATCCAAGCCTACAGTCTAATTAACATTCTAAGTTATAATCTAATGTATAGTCAAAACTATAGTCAAGTTTATGGTCTAGTCTACATCAAAAGCTATAGTTTCTAATTGAAGCTATAGTCTAGTCTATAGTCAAAGTTATGGGGATTCTATAGTCAAAGCTTTTATCTAATTTATAGGCTATTCTATAATCAAATCTATTGTTTTCAGTATAACTCAAAACTAGTCCATAGAATATAACTGTAGTCTAGTCTAGCTACTGTCTAGTCTATAGTCAAAATTATAGGCGATTCTGTATACCAAGCTATATTCTAGTCTATAGTCAAAGCTATAGTCTAGTTTATAATCTAATCTATAGTCAAATTTATAGTCTAGTGTGTAATCAAACCTATGCACTATTCTATAGTCAAGTCTACAGTAAAAGAAATAGTAAATAATCGAAGATATAGTCAAGTCTATAGCCAAAGCAACAGCCTATAGTCAAAGTTATAGTATAGACTGTAGTCAAAGTTATAGGCTAAAGCTATAGTCTACAGATTTAGCGTATAACTAAGGATGTAGTCTAGTCTATAGTCAAAGCTATGGGTGAGTCTATAGACCAAGCTTTATTCTAGTCGATATCCAAGACTACAGTCTAATTAAGAGTCGAAGTTATAGTACAATGTATAGTCAAAACTATAGTCAAGTTTATGGTATAGTCTACATCAAAAGCAATAGCTTCTAATCGAAGCTACAGTCTAGTCTATAGTCAAAGTAATCTATATAATCTATAGTAAAAGAGATAAAGCAGTGAACTACTTTTTAGTCAAAGCTACATATATTCTACTACATATATTTTACTATAATCAAAGATACAAAAGCTTTGGAATAGTTTGTAGTCAAAACTATAACTAACTAATCTAGAGTCTAAACCCTGGACTATCGTATAGTCAGTGCTATAAACTAATCTATAGTAAAACCTATGGTATATACTTAAAGCTTTCTGTAGTATAAACTTTTTTAACATTTTTGAAATAATTTAAAAAATTTTATTAATTAGAAAAATAATAATTGATACAAAAAAACTATAAAAGAATAAAGTTTTAAATTTTCAAAACAAAATATTCAATTATTATTTTATTTATTCAAACCAATTAAAGTTTTATAGTTTATTTTTAAAAATAACAAAAATTTTGGCAATATTTTTTCCCCTCAATACTAGACATTTTATTAGAAGCAACAATTTCGGTAAACTAAATGAAAACAATAAAAATAACATAAATCATTTAATTCGTGCAATTGTCAATTAAATTCAATTGAAATCAGTCAATTAAATTGGACAAACTGAACACACAACTTAGCAGCAGAAGTAGTAGTAGTAGTAGAAAAATACAATTTGCCTCAAATTGTTACAATAATTGTGGAATAAAAACAAAACAAGTGTTAAAATTTTATTAAATTTTACTTAAAAATGTAACAAGTTTAGAAAAAAAAAACATGAGTAATTAATTAGTAATTTAATGTTATATTTAGGACTTAGAGCAAAAACATGAACTATATATTTGTTTTAATTTAACACAAAACTTAAAGTTTTAACACTGGCATAAGAAAAAACATGTTAATTTACAGTTCTGTTTTTAATAAAATATTTTTTTAATTGTGTTTTTTTACAGTGCTTAAAGAAGAACCAGACGATTTAACTGCCCACTTAGTGGCCACAAATGCTGTCGATGCTTGTATGCCACTCGATGAATCGGGCCCCTTGTTTGGTGAAATTTTAGTAGGTTTTGGCATGGGCTCTTACAGCAGCCTCTTACCTGATGATATCAATTCATTAGACTCTAACACATCGTCCTTAGAACATAGCAATCATAATAATAACAATAACAGCAACAATAATAGCAATAATCAAACAATAAACAAATCTTCAGCAATTACTTGTTCGCCTACAACAGCAGCCAATTCGCCTACAACATCTTCGACGTCGTCAATATCTTATAATGCTTCAATTGTGGCAACAACACATAATCACAGACAATCTACAACATCGTCTTCTTCGTCGTCGCCATCTTCATCATTGATAACAACTACAACAAGTGCAACACATAATAGCAATAGTACAGCAACAACGACAGCAACAAATAGCACAAATATTGATCCATTTATAAATTATCGTGATGAATCGAATGATACAAATTGCTCACAGCATTTACTGTCGCCAAGTGTTACATCCAAGGTAATTATGATTAAAATTTAATTAAGTCTCAATTTTTGTCTAATTATTTCATTTGAATATTTTAATTGTTTATTAAGGACACATTTAATAATGTCTGAAAATGTTGTTTTATTAATAACTTGTTTAAAATCTTCAATCAATTACACAGGCCTACAAATGTTTAACCCGGTATACTTTTCTAAGGGCTTGAGGTGTGCTGAATCTGACCTCAGAATTTCTCCATTACATCAGTTTTTCGAGATATACGATCTTACAGTTTGGTACTTCAAACCTAGTTTTTAGCCATGTTTGAGACGTTATAACTGCACCAAGCCAACTTTATTTATAAAGTTTGTTATATCATCTGAAAGTTTAAACTCTGTCATATCATCTTCCCTCTTTGAGATATACCAAACTAAAGATATGATGAAGAAATTCTAAGGTCATATTCGGATTCGGCACAGAACGATCCTTTAGCGTTTTGGCTTTTTTCAAATTTTGTTGACATGTGTTATTTCGAACTTGAAGTTTTTCATACTCCTGGAGCAGTCAATTGAATAAATTGAGACGTTTTTATGCAAACAAATCACTCTAATACATTCTGAATCAAAGGCTTTTGAAAATTCTTCTCTTTTCTATTTCACTCGATGTTCTAAAGAAATATCGAATATTTGTTCCACTTGTAAATGTTTAAATTAAATTTCTTACTAAAATCCATCAATTTCTTCCAAAGATGACTTGCAATATTTAAAACATTACAAATATTCTTTCCAAAATTACAATAATTCAAACAAATTCGATAAATCTTTGAAAAATTGTTATTAGCTTTTATTTATTTTGAAATTTTTCTAACATGACTTTTAAAATTTGCTTATTTCCACTTAAATAATCAAAATCTAATCTCTCTCTCTTTATTTCTCTACATTCCAGAGTCCTGAAGGTAGCAGTCTACCCTCATTATGCAGCCCCAGTTCATTAAGTCAAGAGGATGATTTTTCATATTACACCATGAATGTCGATGATATGGATGATTTAACAATGCGTGCTCCTTATATACCCATGAATGAACAAGACGATTTACCCTTGTTAACCACCGATGATTATATGTGGAGTAGTGGTAATGCCTTTACGCCCGATGAGTTTAGTTTGCATACAAAAGATTCCGATAATTTGCAAACGTTGCAACTCAATCAATTATTAAACTATCAACAGCAACAATTCACGCAACAGCAGCAACAAACGCAACAATTTTCAAATTCATTATGTTCTTCGCCAGCCTCAACAGTATCCTCAATGTCGCCCTCACCCATACAACAACAACAACAGCAGCAACAACAACAACAACAACAAAATTCTCAACAAATGTTCTCTACTGATTCATCAGAATTGGCTGCTTTATTATGTGGTTCGGCTAATGCTACCCTTAGCACCCTACAGGATACTACAAATTTTACAAATTCTTTAAATTTAAATGCATCTCCTAGTAACGGTCAAACTCAAAGTGTTGATAATAATGTGGTTTTAACTGATGATTTGGATAGTGTTAGTGTGGCTAGTTCTTCGTCTACGGCTTTGGATCAACATCAACAGTTGCAACAGCATTGTTTGCAACAATTTCAAGAACAATTGCAACAGCAACGTCAACAACAGTTATTGAGTGGTTTAAATATAAATTGTAAAAAAGAAAAATTCGAAACAGCAAATAATTCACCATCGTTGACACCGAATCTATGCGATTCCATAGAGGATACTTTCGATAATATCTATAGCAAGAATTGTAAGTATAGAAAAGTGCAAAAAGTGTGCCCCTTCGTAAGGGCATTTGTGTTTTTATTTCGGAGTGAAAAAGCTAGCCGAGCGAGCTACTTTTTCGCTTTAAACCAGATGATTTTTATTTGTGTTTTATTAAGAAAATAAGCAAGTTTTTGAAAAAAGAAAATTCATATCAAAATTTTAATTTAAATACTTCTTTAAGGAAAAGCAAACAATTTCGAATTCAAACATTTTCATTTTCGACACTAGTAGTCAGTCTTGGAACAATACAATGGATTTCAAGGTAGCTGATACTTATTGGGCTGGACAGAAGTAGTCTAAGGACTCTTCTAGTGTTTTTAATGTCTAATAGATTTTACGGCACTGGAACTGTAGAACGGAATGCAAGGTCTTATGTTCTTATAGGGATTTTAACGGTCCATTGGACTTTTGCGGGTTAAATACGTTTGCTGAAGAGCTTTACCTAGCCTCAGGAAATAGATAACATGACGAACTAGGGAGCATTGCTGACAATATACCAGGTCTTATGAGGAGTATAAACTGGATTTCCATTAGGTAGACTGTAGCGATGTTATCGATCTCTTTTCTCAGATAAGAAGGCAATTAAGATACTTATTAGTCTAAGGGCATTTTAAGTATTTTCCTTTTATAAAAAGATAATCTCTAATTCCAAGGCACTATCAACCAATTCTGGAGCAGTTGAATGGATTGTAAGGCCTAATGTTCACGGCTTAATGCGAAGACAACCCAAATACTTATTGGACTGTATAGTAAGGGACATAGACTAAGGACACTTATAGGGAATTTATCGGTCCATTGTTCAATTTGAGCTTTTTTGAGTAAAGATGCTGAAGAGCTTTTCCTAGGGTGTAAAGATAAAAGAGACTAGAAAGTCGATACCATGACGAACTAGGGATCATTGCTGGTAATCTGCCAGGTTTTATGAGGAGATTAAGTTGGATTTTTATTTCATAGGCAGTAGCGACGATTTCAATCTCTTTTCTCATGTTTCTCTTATTTCTTCGAGGTCTGACTTCAGTATTATTTAAGAATATTTGCTGTTTCGCTTAACACACAATCCTGTTCCTTATACCTCTCTCTGTCTCTCTCATTTTCTTCTTTCTGTTTTGTTATTTATTTTCTATTTTGATTCGTTCTGGTTTCTTTTACTTTTTCGAGGTCTGAATCCAGTGTTGTTCAAGAACATGTAGGCTGTGGCGCTTATCACACAATCCTGTTCCTTATCCTTCTCTCTTATTTCTTTTCTCTTTCCTATTTTTGCAGAGAATTACAATGAATCACAATGTCCGATTAGAGTTGGTGCATAACCTCTCCTGTAGTTATCACAATAAATTTAATTTTGAAACGAATCTTAACCCAAATGCAACCTTTAAACTGTTTTAATCCAAGGTTTACTCCACTATTCTTGAAAAATAACGGTTTTTCTAATTCTAATAATTTTTTCACTTAAATTCGAATATGTAATTGCTTTTTCAAACAAACTCAAAAAATCATCCTCTTATTCTCTTACATTTTCTATGCTGCACAGACAGATATGAATGCCAATCTGTTTTTCAATATTTTCCAACTACACATGTCATTTAAATTACAAAACAAAAATAAATTGTTCACTTAGAAAACTTTACGCCTCAAATAGTTTGTTAAATATTCCAAAAATATCAACCAAATAGAAATAAAAAGTAAAAACCTGAAGAGGGCAATGAAAATATTCGAAAAATGCTAAAGAATTAAAACAAAATTATAGTTGACAAGTTGAGTGTGTTGTGTATGTATTGTGTTATATGAAAAGTTATGAAAATGTGTTGGTGTATTTAAAAATACTCTGAGTAGGCATATTTTCGATACTTTTAAATATTACAAAACATAAAAATTATTTTTAATTTTTAAATACATTTTACAAAACAAAAATAGAACAAAAAATAAAAGACAACACATCCAATAATTAACACTGATAAAAGTCAACAGAAATAATTTCCATTACTTCTCCTTTTAGATTAATGACAATAGAGAAAGTAAAACTTTCCTTTACGTAAACTGAAGAAATTTAAATAAAAGTATAAGTGTGGGTGTTTAAAATAATTAACTTTAATTGCAATTTATTGCAATACATTAATAAGCTTTAAAATATTTCAACACATTTTTTACAAATGTTTTCATAACAGTTTTTTTTTCAAATATTACACAAACCTGTCAAATTTGAGTGATAAGTTTGACACATCAAACACTAGTATCAAATAAAAATAGACCTTTAAACGTTTATTGTGGTTGTTTTTTTTTTTTTTTTTTTCAAGCAAAATAAATATTGTCTATTGAACTTAAAAACTCATACTTATACATACATATACAAATGTCACATGTTTGAAAATTTTACAGTTTTGACACCACGCGTTTAAGAAAAATGTCAACAATTTGTTTAAATTTAATATTATTTTTTGTTGATTTTTTCCAAAATATCATCATCATGTTATTAACACGTGACATTTATTAAAAGTTTTTTTATTTTTATAGAAAAAAAACTATAAATTATCTTGGTTGTTTTTGTTAAACTCTTTCAATTATTAAAAATATGTTAGAGATTTTTATTTCAAAATTTATGATTTTTTTGTATTGAAAAAAAAAGCTGCCCAAAAAAAAAATGTTATATGGAAAATGCTGTTATTCCTTTACTCTTTAATCCCCCTATAGATATACATATGCTTTTGTGGATCGTTTATTATAAGGAAAATTCTATGCTGGCCTACGCTTGTGCTTGTGCTACTGTGTCGTCTTCCCCTATTTTATTTTATTGGATAAACATTTCTTAATAAATTAATTTATTATTATTTTTTTATATTTTTCCGTATCATACTTCTAACCATGCAAAATATTATTGTCTCCAAGCGTTTCTAGAACTCAATATATATTTTGTTAATAACTTAATTTTTTTCTGCTATATTGTTGTATATTTGAGAAAATAAGAATTCTTAGACATTGTTTATGTTATTTTTTTTTTTTAATTTGTTATTTATTTTGTTTCATTTATATGCCCAAGTTCAGGGACAATATTATTTTTAAGCAATTTTCTTATGGAAATAATAACAAAAGTTCTATTAATAACAGATAAATAGTAAAAAACCTTGATTTAAATTAAAGAAAATTGTTTAATTTTAAAGTGTAAACAAGTTTAGTGTTTATGGCAGGCAGTGTTTTCGCAATGAGCGTTTCCCTCTGTTAAACGGCAAATAGTTGTTCGCGATTCTCTCACAAAGCATGATTTTTTCGATTCATTAACGGAAAAATTCCCAAGTTTTCACTTTCGAATGTGAAATGAAACTTGAAGATAGTGAGAGAGAAAGCCAAAAGAGTGGACGATCATGAAACGGCACTGACGCTTTGTCGGTGACGTTGAAATGAACGTTTAGGAATCTGCCTTTGTCATCTCGTCTAGAAAGACAAGATACTTCAATTTCTAGTTCCTCGCCTGAAAGTCAGAATGTGGACGATAACGAAAAGGCACTAACGCTTTGTTGGTGACGTTGGTGAGAACGTTTAGGAATTTGCCTTTGTCATCTCATCTAGAAAGACAAGAGACAATTTCTAGTTCCTCGCCTTCTCTTTCTTCATTCGTCCGGCAATCGCCCTACCTGCCGAACAGGAAAATTTTCTCTCTAGTGTTCTCCTTAGCTAACACTGGTCAGTAGGAGAAGCTTTTTCATTTTCAAATGTTAAATGAAATGATCTTGAAATTAGTTAGAAAGAAAGTCAAAAAGTGGACAAGAACGTTAAGCAATCTGCCTTTGTCATCTCATCTAGAAAGACAAGAGACTTCAATGTCTAGTTCCTTCTCCTTTTGCCGATCATGTTATAGAAAGTATAGTCTTCTCTTCTCTGCTTAGTTTAGCCTCATCAATAAGAGAAGCCTCCGACTGTGAGTATGCTCCTCTCAAGCAGCAGATCTAAATACTCCAACTCCCGTGTGGCACTTGTATCACCAAAAGAGACATTTGATAATCCCAGAAGACCATTTAAATTTAGGTCAGTCAGAACTAGTCTTTAATGTAGGTTGTTAGAACACGTCCCTGTACTATGCCCAAATTCTCATCTTCAAGCTCGACTTTAACGTCCTCATTGCTTTACCTAATACTAGGTTAATCAACCCGTACTTCCTGTATGTTTTCAATTTTGATCCCCCGAGAAGTGGCAGCATGCCTGGACTGTACAACTGGCATGTAACAACATTTTACCCTGACACTGAGACTAGTTTCTTCATACATTAGCTAGCCAATCAGTAACTCAGAAGCGTTTCTACTCACCTTGATTTAAAACTGTTTCATAGCGATTTGAAAACGTTTTCGAATGTAGTTGGAAATGTATTTTGGAATTTGTATAGAGATATCAACTAGAGTTCGAACCACTAACATGTTGTTCGTAAGACAGACTCTTCTAATCAATTGACTGCAAATCCTATTCAACAAAATCCAATACTACTAATTTTGGATAACGAACACTCCTTACCATGTAATGTATGAAATAACTACATTAGTCATTAATACAATTTAAAACATTTTGTTTGGGTTAATTTATAAATTGAAAATAAAATGTGTTTGCTAATTAAAATCAAATTTTAAAATTTTCTCTTTTTTTTTAAAAACTTGCTATTTTTCTTAATTATTTTGTTGATTAAACATTTATTAAAATAAAAATTTTACTCATATTATTTATTAGCAACAAATTTGGATTGTTGGAATGAATTTTTACAAATCAATACAAATGAGAATACAAATACAACAAATAATAATGTTGCGGTTGCTACAACAGCACAACAACAACAACAACAGCAACAAGGAATGGATAATTTAAGACAAGAAGACTGTAAACAACAATTACATATGCAATTGCAACAGCAGCAGCAACAAACACAAAACATTATTATAAATGCCGTGCCATTGATAACAATACAAACCACAAGCAATAATAATAAAAACGTATTGATACAACAGCAACAGCAGTTGCAACAGCAAAGCAATACAAAAACTTTAAATAAAGTGAATACCATCAAATTGACACCCATAACAAGTACGGCTACTATAAAGATTATTGAAAATAAACAGCCTTTAATGCAGCAGCAGCAACAACAACAACAGCAGCAAAATATTATTAAAACTGCTTATATACAAGCCACAGCCAACAACGGCTCTAATGCTGTGACTGCCAATAAAAGGCATTTGTCCAACAATCAGTTAAACAATAATGCCTTGGAATCCAAACGTTTAAAAAGCAATATAATGGATATGCAAAATTCCAATACAACTTCACAATTGTTGCAACAATTGATAACAACACCACAGCAGCAACAGCAAACAACTTCTAAGACAACAAAAACTGTTTTGGAAACAAGATGGTCGTCTTCTAATGAAAATCAAGCTTTAACACAACAGCAGCAACAGCAAAAACAACAACAGCAGAAACAATCAAACAGTGTTTTGAAGAATCTTTTGATTAGTGGTTGCGATGTAAGTGCCGGTTACTGTATTGTACCCATGAGACCCAAAACAAAACTCGCCAAAGCATAATGATTTTAATATTAGGATTACAAAAACAAAAAAACGACAAAAACAAAAAGAAACGCTTAAAAATCACTAAGAACAAAACCTACAACAAAACAAACAAACAAACGCATAATTATTACAAACACCTGCCTCTTATTTCATTTTATTTTAAAGAATTTTAAATTTTATTTTAATTAGAACTTAAAAACTTCTAAACGAACTCATAATTTTTAGCACAAAAACAATGTGAAATACATTATTAGTCTACTACTATTCCCCCCTTTTTAAAAACTTTTTAAAAACTCTGTTTAAAACTCTTTGAGTATAACATTGTTAAGGTTTTTGTTTGGTCAAGGGAAGAACATATATCCTAGCATTTTATACCCTACCAACAGCCAACCTTAACTTTTTTTACTTTAAAGTGTTTAAGAGTTTTTAAAATAGATATTTGTATAAAAAAATAAACACGAACTTATTTGTTCTAATATAATTTAAAAAAAAAAAATATTCTCTTTTAGTTTAACTCTCACCTTGTAAATGGATCGATTTTATATAAATTATATCGTAAACAAATATTAAACAAAAATTACTTTTTTCTTTATTTTCGAAGAATTTATTTAATAATTAAGCTTTAATTATATTTTAGTGTTATAAATTTAAACGAGTAAATTAAATAAAACTAAAAAAATAAACATTAAAAAAGAAAACAATTAGTCAAACAATTTAAACATAATATAAAAAAACTATAGTCGTAGTAGTATATTCTTTTAGTCTATAAGTAGTTTAGTTTATAAATTAGTGTAAAAATAACCTCACAAAACAAAGTGTTCTAAAACAAACACTTTTGTTTTGTTAAAACAAAACAAAAAAACAAGAAAATAGAGACTATTTGTTATATAACATAAAAAATAAACAACCAGAAAATTTAATTTAAAAAAAAAAACTAAAACCTGCTTTAACTTAGTTATACTAAGTTTCATATTTTTTTAATTTAAATATTTTCTTTAAAAGTTGTTAATTGTATTTTTTAAGTTTTTTTTTGTTATTACACTTTTTTTCTGTAAATAACATTTATTTTTTTATTTATTTTTTCCAAATTTTTTCTTTTATACAAAGCAACAATTTATTATTTTTTTTAATTTTTAGTTTTCTTTTCTTTATTTATGGTTGTTGCTTTTTTTGTATATATAGAGCAAAGCTGTATTTAATCCATAAGTGTTTTTTTTTTTTAGTTTTTAATTTTGTTAATTTAATATTTTTTATTATTATTATTATTTTTATAAACATTATTTTTGTTATATATTTCATTATCGAAAAAACAAACATCACATTTTTCTTTGTTTTAAAGACGAACAAAATAAAAAAAATTATTACAAAAAATTTATTATAAATTTTGGTTTTATTTTTAATTTCTTTATAAAAGAAAATTTCTTTAACAGAGTTGGAAAAACAAGATTTAAGTTGTTTTTCTTTTAGTTAAAATATTAATTATTTCTTTTAAATAATGTTTATGTTAAAAATATAGGATAAAGCAGTGGCCGTATTATCGCTTACTTGATTGAGTAAAATTTATCGTAATTTTCGATATCGATTTCGAGCGATTTCGATACGAAAGCTTTTTTAATGTCATTTGAGGAAATTCGGAACCAGGTGTCTTCACTTGGTACATGTGTACTTTGATTCGAAATTGAACTCTTATAAAAATTGTCATTAATTCGAACAATTTCGTTATCGAATTTCGAATAACAGAAACCACCTATTTGTTTATAACAATTTGCGAACAAATTCATATTTGTATTCGAAAATAAAATTGTCCTCGACCATTTACTCTAAAGGACTACTACTACAGCATCTTATTTAATAGTTCCATTTGAAATTTAATGATTTCGAAACGAATTTCATATTACCGATTCGCATTATACTAAATCTCGATTTGAATGAAAACATTTTTGAATTATAGTGCGCATTATGAGTATAAATTGGTACATTTTTTAATCCGATTTTAAATTATCAAGTAATAAACAAGTTACAGAATAATACTTAGTTAACACCAGACCGATTCGGAAAAAAACAAAACTTTTTGACTAAAGTATGCATTTAAATCTGACTTCATAATTTCTCTATAACATCAACGTGAAGTCGACTTTATCTATAAAACTTGAAAGTCGTCTAAAACTCCTATCTGTTAGCTTCAAAATAAAGGCATAACCTCTGTTATATCTTGTTCTTTCTATAAGATATCGGCATTAGGGTCAGAGAGATAATTTTCATGCTATAGCTTAGCTTCTGCAAGATATTCTCCAAAAGTAACGTAGTAATATGCGGTCTATGATTTCAAGAGCTAATCCTGTTCCAATTAAGACTAGATCCGTTTGCAGGAACTTTGATGTTTAATCCTCGGACTGCACTATATATATTTGGCTTATGGCTTAAGTACTTTGTCTTTGTGGCATCTTCAGTTGAAGACCGTCCAGAAACATCAGTTATCGCCACAGAAACTGATGATTCTAGACCGTGATCGTGATCAGTCCAAAGTTGACATTAGACATGGGATGATTAGTCATATGCATATATTTGTTTCTCATTGAACTTAAAAAAACTTTTATTTGGTAATCGAAGACGTTGGTTCCCATGCGCCTTAGACAAGTTGGAAAAAACTAATGACTTTTCAATCAGCAAAAGATTTTTGGCAAGAGCCTGTTCTCATGAGCTTTATACTAGATCGGTTTGAAAGAACTTAAACTTAAGCTCTTACGTTTTATTCATGATCGGGTTGTGGAAATCTCAGGCAGTATTTGGCTTAAGTACTTGGAATTTGTGACATCCATAGATGAAGATCGGTCTGTAATATCAGTTTCTGAGTTGATGATAGTGATCAGTTGTTTGTTCAACACCTACACATTTCTGTCTTTCATTTAACTTAATGGTTGAATGAAATCTCAGTCTCTTTGTTATTTGGCTTTGTTGAGATCGTTCTCAGTTACGATCAGCAAACGATATTAGGCATAACAATGTAATTTAACTAAGATCTATGATAAGCAAGAGCTTGCCCTCTTTCGCTTTATACTAGATCGGTTAAGAGTTGGCATTGAACAGGGTAACATGTCTGTATCTCTTTCAACTTAAAGAACTGTTATTTGGCAATCAATGTCTTTACATCTTTGAAAAGCGTTTAATAACACTTGGGAAAATCTAATGACTTTCTCCATCAGATTTTGGACATGAAAAAGTTTACAAGTTTTTATTACTCTCTACAAGATGTTTTCAGTCGTCATACTCCCAAGCTTTTGACATTTCTATTATGGCGTATATGACCGACATCATCTTATGTATAAAGTCAACAGTAAATTTTATACATATACGCCATAATAGAAATCTCAAAAGCTTGGGACATCTTTTGATCTCTACAATATAAAGACGGACGATCGTAGTTCCAATCGTATTTATAGGCCTTATCACTCTCCATTAGTTAAATTAGTTTAAAATTCAATGCAAATCTCACAAATTCTGAATATTTTTTACAGTTTTTTAATAAAATTTTAGCAATAACTTTCCGACTTTGTTCCATAACGAAAAACGTTAGAATTTGTGATTACTTAAGGTTGTAATTTTGAAACATAAATGAAATATTGCAGTTACATTTGTCGAGTGTTTTCTTTAAAAAATTGTTTAAATAATTTCGTAGTTCCAATCGTATTTCGAAACTGTATCACTTACCTTCTGAAGTCTTGTTTTTCCAACTCTGCAAAACTTTCCATAATATTTTCAGTATTTAACACAATTTTTTGCAATATATTTTTTTTTAAATTTTCTTTTAACAATTACAAAAACAACAAAAACATTAACTACTCTACCTCTTAATAAAACAAATAAAATAAACAAAACAAAACATAAAAAAATAAAGTTCAAAATTTTAGATAAATTTTTTACACAAAATATGAAAATAAACCAACAAATAAATAAAGAAAAGAATAAATTTGGAAAACTATAAAAATGAATATAAAAATTTTTACACAAAATTTTAAAATCGAGCGCTAAAGGTACAAATTGAAAATTAAATAAAATAAATGAAAAACAACAAAAATAAAATAAATTCAAGAGAAATTCAAAAGAAAAACTCAAAAACTTTTTAGCAAAAATAAATAAATAAATAAAAATATACATATTAGCCAATAAATAAAATATTATAAATAAATTGAATATAAACATATTTGAAAATATAACCTTAAATACCTCAAAAAATTATTAAGTGACAGTAAAAGAAAAGAAACAAAGACAGACGAAGAGTAAAAAAAATGGTTTGATGTTTGTTTTACAAAGAATATTGAAATGTGTAATTTAATAAAAACAAAACCATAACAACAACAACAATAAAAAGCTTTAAATTAACTGAAAACAATAATTAATTTTATTATTATTTTATTTTTATTACAATTTTCTAAATTTGTTTCTTTTTTATATTTTCACGCTCACGTGATTTTTTTGTTTAAGTTTAATTATTAAGAATTGGTTAAAGTAAACTAAACTTGTTATAAATTTATCAAAATTAAAAACAAACAAAAAAAAGAAATAAATGAAAACAATTGACTGTTAAAATAAACAAAATTTGTTTTATTTGTTATTAATTAATTATTTATATGATTTTTTTATAAAGAAAATAATTTAGTTTTTAAGATTTAAAAAAATGCGTTCTTATATTTTATCTTTTTTTTTAATTCGCGTTTAATTAAGTGCGTGCGTGTATTTCGTTATATTTTCTACTTATTTTTATTTAATTTTTTTACGAAATCTTATTGATGGTTGCTGATTTTCTTAAATTGATTAATTGCAAAACAATTTAAATTGTTTGTGTGTGCGAGATCTAGTCAGTTTTATTAAGAATTTGAATGTTTTGAAATTATCTACGTTTATGTGACTTGATTTATTGCAGCATATCATAGTGGGTGTCTGGGGCATGCTTTGAA